TAGTCACCTGTCTCACAGGGAGACTGGATAAAGCTGGTTGAAAAAGGGAGGAACAATTTTGTGAAAAATTCTGAAGTTGTTTCTGATTCATGAGGTTTGAAATTGAACAATTTTTCATGCAACAAAAATGAATTTTCATTTCCCCCTGGTTCTCTCATTTGGCCACTGAGTGCATAAAATGAAGGATGCCCAGATTTTACCTCCTCCCCAAAGTGCACAGACAGCCTTTTTTTCCTTTTGCCACTCTAGCTTTTCAAAATGTTTTGCCCATCTTTGAAAAGTTACCAAGTAGTAGATTTAGAGTTTCCTTTGTGTATTAGAAAGGTTACAGAGTGGAAAATGGGAAGAAAACAGAAAAATGAGGAACACCCTACCCCCCTCAAATATCAACATCGGGGGTGGGGGGAATTGGGAGAAAAAAACAAATTCAAAATATTTGTTTTTTGTTAAAAAAAAAATGGAAAAAATGTAAAAACTAAAACTTCTTGCAAAAGTTTTCAGTTTAGAAACAAGCCATTTTTCATCAAAGAAGTTGTGAATGAAAGTTTTCAACCATCTCTAGTTGCAAGTCTACATTCCTTTATGTTTGTAAAGCTCTTTGAGGTTCTTGGATAGAAGGTGCCAGGGAAATACAAAGTATTATTCTTCCCCTATCCTAAGGAGGGCTATAGAGCTAAGGGTAAAGAAATCAGTGTCTATACTCCCATTGGTGGACCAAGTTCATTGGTTTATAATCTCCCCTGCCTTGATGAAGGAAAATAGAGTGGTCTAAACAACGAGGAGTCCTTGTGGCACCTTAGAGACTAACACATTTATTTGGGCATAAGCTTTCGTGGGCTAGAACCCACTTCATCAGATGCATGAAGTGAAAAATACAGGAGCAGGTATAAATACATGAAAGGATGTGGGTTGCTTTACCAAGTGTGAGGTCAGTCTAATGAGATAAATCAATTAACAGCAGGATACCAAGGGAGGAAAAATAACTTTTAAAGTGGTAAGAGTGTGGCCCATTACAGACAGTTGACAAGAAGGTGTGAGTAACAGTAGGGAGAAATTAGTATTGGGGAAATTAAGTTTAGATTTTGTAATGACCCAACCACTCCCAGTCTTTGTTCAGGCCTAATCTGATGGTATCCAGTTTGCAAATTAATTCCAGTTCTGCAGCTTCACGTTGGAGTCTGTTTTTGAAGTTTTTTTGTTGAAGAATTGCAACTTTTAGGTCTGTTACTGAGTGACCAGAGAGATTGAAGTGTTCTCCCACTGGTTTTTGAATGTTATGATTCCTGATGTCAGATTTGTGTCCATTTATTCTTTTGCCTAGAGACTGTTCAGTTTGGCCAATGTACATGACAGAGGGCCATTGCTGGCACATGACGGCATATATCACATTGGTAGATGTGCAGGTGAATGAGCCCCAGATGGTGTGGCTGATGTGGTTAGGTGCTATGATGGTGTCCCTTGAATAGATATGTGGACAGAATTGGCATCGGGGTTTGTAGCAGGGTTTGGTTCCTGGGTTGGTGTTTTTGTTGTGTAGTTGATGGTGAGTAATTGCTGGTGAGTATTTGCTTCAGGTTGGGGGGCTGTCTGTAGGCGAGGACTGACCTGTCTCCCAAGGTCTGTAAGAGTGAGGGATCATCCTTCAGGATAGGTTGTAGATCCTTGATGATGCGCTGGAGAGGTTTTAGTTGTGGGCTGTAGGTGACAGCTAGTGGCATTCTGTTACTTTCTTTGTTGGGCCTATCTTGTAGTAGGTGACTTCTAAGGCATTCTCTGCTGAAGGAGAAGCCCTGTTCTCCTCTGACACTGAGTACAAAGTACTGTACTGTGTAGAAGCCCTTCATGAACATGTAGGAGCAGGCACAAGTCATGAGTTTCAGTCTCTTTCCAACACCCATTTCTTCAGGCAGACAATTGTGCATATGGGAGCAAGGAGGGGTGCACACCTCTCCCTCTTGAGTCCTGCAGGCCAGTAACTGTGGGCATGCAGCATGGTATGAGGGGTTCCACAGACTTCATTCCCCAGGGGTCCCGCTGGCTTCTTCCATCCAGGAGCTGCATATAGAGAGGGGAAAATGGCAGCTACCTGGCCTCTTCCACAGTTCTGTTTCCACAGTACTGGGTTATCTGGCTATTACTCCTTGGCACTCCATTTTGTGACCCTACTTTCCCCCTCTCTCCCAATCACCTCCTGTCAGGGTTGGAACCTTCCAGAAAACGTTTAGTTACAACAGGAGTGTGAAGAACTGACGGAGGAGTCGGGTGAAGAGGTGAATACAGGGGATCACTTGAAAGCATCAGAACAAAAGCATAATAAACCCTGATAAGATGGGAGGGAGGTGGGAAAACAGAGACAAAACAAACTGCATAGAAACAATCTGAAAAACATGAAAAATGCATGAAGCATTGAGTAAAACACCACAGCCTTCTGCAGCACATGTGATGCGGTCTCTGGCAGCTAGTTCTATTTTGGTCCCCATTAAGAAACGTCTGTTATAGCCCAGGCAGCTCTGGCTGCTGCTACATAAACTGGGACAGTGTAAATACTCATATTCTGAAGCTCCATCTGCCCTGCAAACTGGATAGAGCACTACTGGGTGGGGAAGCAGCTTATAAAAAAAAATGCTTTTCTTGGATCTAGGTTTTTAAAATCTATTAAAAAAAAACCTTTCCACGTTCACCCCCTCCTGTGCCTTCGGGAGATGCTGGGAGCAGTGTTTCCAGAAAATACTTTGCAGATGGTTTTTTCTAGCAGGAACACTGCCAAATCTGTGTTCTTTGTGACTGAGAGATGGACTTTTCTCAACCCTGCTTCTCTGCTTCCTGGAGCAGATACCTCACTGGTGGGTGGTGCAACTGAGGTTCTAATCTCTTTGACACTTCCCTTGGTCTTTCTCCCTGAAGTCAATGTCCGAGGACCAGATTTCCCTATTATTAAGGATAATTAATCCCTTTGTTATCCCCCTTGGCCTCCTCCCTGAAGCTGGCTTCACCACCATGTTGCTCCAATGTTATACTATTGCAGATCCATGGATTTCACCTTAGCGCTTGGTTTCAATGGAGTCATACCAGGGTTAAAAATAGACGGCAGTGAATCAGGCTCAATGTCTCAGTGATTTAGGTGAATGTCCTGAATTACCCTCCCATTCCTGTCCCATAGAACTGCTGGACTATCTCACAGCTGTGCCATTTCTATGTAATCACAGTAATGGTTCTTTCCCTACCATTTTTTCCTTTTATTATGAAAATAAGCAGGCCTTTGGGATAAATAAATGCCTCATTACTTTGTCACAATATTAAATACCTCTGTTTTTTTTAATTGAAGTCTGTGACTACCTATAATTCTTGGAAAAAGAATAGCTCAGAAGTACCCAGGGTCGGCTCCAGGCACCAGCTTCTCAAGCAGGTGCTTGGGGCGGCCGCTCCGGAGAGGGGCGGCACGTCCAGGTATTCAACGGCAATTCGGCGGACGGTCCCTCACTCCGCCTGGGAGTGAAGGGCCTCCCGCCGAATTGCCGCCGCAGATCGTGATCACGATTGCGGCTTTTTTTTTGTTTTTTTTGTTTGGGCTGCTTGGGACAGCCAAAACCCTGGAGCCGGCCCTGGAAGTACCCTTTGTCCATGTTTTGTTCGTGTTCTCCGCACCCTGTTTTTCTTTTTGTTCTAAGCACAGCAATAATGTACTCAAGATGCAAAATGGCAGCCATACTAATAAATAATAGTAATGCTGGACTTCTATCAGCTTTTACTAATACCACAGGATGCTTTATGAACAGCCATGAGTTTAGCCTCAGACCCTCCTATGAGACAACTAGACAAATATTTGTCTCTTTTGACATATGAGGAAACTGAGGCAGAGAGGCAAGCTGTTTTTTTCAAGGTCACACAGTGAATCAAGTGGGAGAAGTGGGAATAGAAACCTTGTTTCCCAACCACTCCAGTGCTGGGTCTGAACCATCAGACCAGGCATAATCAGCACAGAGAGAGGCTACAAGGAAAACTAATTGCAAAGTCTGAACGCTTACCCCGGGAGGTAAGTTATTGCATGAGTGAATAACAGTCCACGTGGTATGAAAGTCTGGGGGAGAATTGATAACTCATATGGAACAAAGCCATTTTGGCCCAGTTGTTATAAATGCAGCATTGTCAACTACAATGCCAGCCACAAGCATTCAAAAATTATGAGTCAACCTCCCCCCAAAATAATGAGATAAAAAATTATTTTGGGTTCTTTTTATTGTTTGATTTTTTGAGCCTTTAGGTACATTGGGGTCACATTTTCAAGCTTTCCTTTGAAAATAAAAGGGCTAAAATCTTACTTTAAAAAAGTTGGGGTTTTAAGTGAAATGTCAAATATCACTAGATGTGCAATAAAATCAGAGCTGGCAGTGCTAAAACAGAGCACTATATTGTTAAGTAGAAGATGTAGGGTACCTACCAGAAGGACTGTGTGAATTTGTTTGCCTCCAGGGTTTGATCTGAAGTTTGAATGAGCCCCAAAATTCAATATGGAGCTCATCTGCAAGCTCTAATTTTCAGGAAACAGGGCTGCTCCAATGTTTGTGAACCTGTCTGCAAGCCTGATCTGAATTTCAAGCTTTGAATGAAATCCAGATCTGGATGAACATGGCCCAGTTTCAGGTTTCAAAATGAAAGCTACAAACAGCTGTGCTGACATGGGGCCAACTTCACCATCACCTCGCTCTTTAAATGAATAGATTTCAAGGCCAGAAGGAACAATTCTGATCATGCAATTGGGCCTCCTGCATAACACACACCATGCAATTACACCCAGTGATGCCTGCATCAAGCCCCAATAACTTGTGATTAAACTAGAGCCTATATAAATGATGTAAATTGCTACCACTCTGACACAGCAGTGGTTTATGTGTGTAAGTGACCATACAAAGTGCAGGGCCATAGGGAATCAGACCCAATGTGCTTTCTATGTGTTCTGGATCAAAGTTCACAGAACATGTGTAGTACAAAGTTATTGTTACCTTCTTTTCACTTCCATATACTCCTGACCTTCCTCTGCTTTGAGAAGCTTCTCTCCTCTCCAAATAATCCCACAATAATCCAATTAGCAACAGAACTTTCTGCCTTCAGTGCCAGAGACTACTGGATTAATAAAAGCTCCCACTGGCTGTGACCACCGCTCTCCTTAAAAGTGGAAGAGGACTGCATCTGTGAAATGAACAGCAGAAACAACTTTAATTAGTAGCAAACTAACTAACTGGAGTCCCACTCCTTGCAGTGCCAGAGCACAGAGAAAGCGAGCTACAATTTATATGGGGATTAGAACTCTCGGACAAAACAAGGAGAAGAAAGGAAAGAGGGAAACTATGAGCATTTGTGCAGTGCAGGATACCATTTTACAGCTAATTAGGACATGAACTGTGTATATTCATCTCTGCTTAGCATTGCCAACCCTCCCGGTTTCGCTAGGAGACTCTTGGAATCAGGCTCCATCTCCCAGAGGCTACTGGTGCCAAACCAGGAGATTTTAGGCTGCTAAAAGTCCAGCAGCGCAGCAGGGCTAAGATAGGCTCCCTACCTGCTCTGGCCCCGCATCCCTTCCAGAAGTGGCCAGTACGTCCCTGCGGCCTCTGGGAGTGGGCAGGAGGTCTTCATGTGCTGCCCCCGCCCCTAGCGCCAACTCTGCAGCTCCCATTGGCCCAGCCCTGAGCCCCCTCCAGTACCCTGACTCTCTCCTAGAGCTTGCACCCGCACCCCCTCCTGCATCCCAACCCCCTGCCCCAGGCTCAGCCCAGAGCCCCCTCCCACACTCTGAACCCCTTGGCTCCAGCTCAGAGCCCGCATCCTCTCCTGCACCCCAACCCCGTGCCCCAGCCTGGTGAAAGTGAGTGAGGATGGGGGAAAGCGAGCGATGGAGGGAGAGGGGATGGAGTGAGTGGGGTGGGGCCTCGTGGAAGGGGCGGGAAAGGGGGCTGGGCAAGGGTGTTTGGGTTTGTGTGATTAGACAATTGGCAATCCTACCTCTGCTCCACATAATACACAGCTAATCTACCCTTGAATTATCTCTCTGCGTCAAGGGTCCTACCGTCTTACTCTATTTCTCCATTTGGGCATTTGCAGTTTACTTCCCTGTCCCTGCCTTAAGAAAAGACTATAGAAAGAAAGTTAATGAAGTTAATATTGATTTTTTTGGGCGGGGGGTGAGGGGAGATTGGCTCTAGAAAGCTTATATAGCCACCTGGAAAAAAAAACCTCACCCTCCTTGCTAGTTTCTTTGAAAAGCACTTTATTCTATTTTAATCCCAGAGAAAGAGACACACATATACAGAGAGATACATACTGCATTTCAGTTCCCCCTGGCTGGTGACAATATGTGCTCAATGAGGATTGAAAGCCAAAGACATCTGCAAAGGACATGCTACCTGGAATGTTGAGGTGAAATCGATGCTCATGAAACTGAGGTAACAAATAGCCCAGATGGGAAGACACTATACAAACTTCACATTCACCGTGCTAGTGACCTCCGTCCCAGCCTCCTGTTAATTCAGTCCTGGGCACCCCTCCCTGTTCTACCAATGCACCTAAATCATGACCTGCAGTTCCCCTACTATTCTAGCCCTGAGACCCACCCCCTCGACAGCTCTGCCAGTGCATTTAAATCCTCACCCGCATCACACCCTGCTAATCCCCTTCCTGAACCCTCCAGCTCACAAAACCAGCCTTGCCAATTATCAGGGGGTAGCCGTGTTAGTCTGTATCTACAAAAACAACAAGGAGTCTGGTGGCACCTTAAAGACTAACAGATTTATTTGGGCATAAGCTTTCGTGAGAACCTCAGTCCAACTTTGCAGTGCCACCTGACATTATTGTTGCCAACTCTTGCAATTTTATTGTGAGCCACGGGATATTTGGTGCTTTGCTTAAAGCCCCAGATCCCAATTTTTAAAATTTTATTAATGTGATGATATGAAACCCTCAGATTTAATTTTAAATTTTAAGTTTTACGTTTCTAGCCCTCATAGTTGCAAAGAAAAGCTTGAAAACATGATTCCTGCCCAAAGAAATGTAAGCCTGTTATGACTTTATTTGACATATGGCCACTTGTTGCCAACATTCGTACTCCTTATGACTTGACTCTGCCCTTTGCTAATAAACTTATTCTTGTTTTCACAATAAATACATCAGTGCTGTGCTGCTAAGCAAAGTACTGGTCCTGAGTTGAATCTTACGCACTGGTGTGTGTTGTTCCTGGGGGGACAGGAGGCCCAGTTATTCTGAAAGTGTTCAGTGGATGAGGGGATGGACACTGCAGGGAACCCTCCGAGTATTCAGGGGTTGGCGTGTGCCTGTCACGACCTGTATGGAGAGTGCAAGGTCGGCAGAGGCCTGGATACTAGCAGGAGTATCCCTTGTGCTTGTGCTGCCAGAGGCTCTTGGTTTCAGGTTGCTTATCCACAGCAAGACTGCTTCATGCAAAGGGCAGGTAGTGGTAAGGTGCCTCACAACTCAGGGAGCATCACAGCCCCCCCAAACAAGGGAGTTATTTGTCCATCACTATAGTGTGTGCTCTGCTCTCTCTCTCCTTCACACACACACACACACACACACACACACACACACACACACACACACAAAGTTTTCTACTGAGAGGGAGACGGAGACTCGGGGATGGAAGTTGTCATAGCAACCTCCGACTCTGCAGTTCCAGTCTTATGCAACCATAAGCAGGTTTGGAAGGTGCAGTGGGGCACTTGCCTTCTGGCAGAAGAATTGCTTTAGTTAGTTACAGTTCAACTGAGTGCCGTGGGGTTAAACGGAGGCAATCTGTTTGCCAGAGATACGGCACTTTCTTCCTGGCACAGCCCTTGCCCTCTACACTCACATCTCACTGCCGCTTGCATGGTGGGATTGCAAGCTTGTGTGTGCACCGCCCTCTGCCAACAGACCAGCCCTGTTCTTGGAAAGCCATCCATGCAAGCCATTTCCTACCACGCCATCAGCCAAACATGAGCATCCACAGCCAAGTGTCACCCCACTTAAACAGGTGCACACAAAAAAACCCAAAACCACACCACTGTGATGAGACTGGACTGAAATGCTGTCGGACCAGGTGGGGGTGTTACCGCTACTAGTCTCTGCGACTACTTCATTGAAATGCAGCTCCGCAGCTCTGAGGACACAAGGCACAAAGTCTAGAGTAAACGTGACTGTTTTTTGCTCTCCTTGCCAATTGGAAGCTTGGCGATTTAGACGCTAAACAGTAAAGAAGCTGTTTTCTCTCCCCACCCCGCACAAAGGAGAAAGGCAGAGAGAGGCCAGGGACATTTGTCTATCTCCAGGCTGATCTCCAAGTGGGTCTGCTGGAGCATGGTGGTGCCTGGTGTGAGAGCAGGGTATTGCTTTCTTTGACCACATTTGCTCATTGCATCCTTGGGGGTGCCTGTTCTGTATTTTCAGACACACACAACAACCTGCGTCTTTTGTTTTAGAGCAGTGATACTCAGACCTCAGTGGTTCAGGAGCCAAATTAGCAATCAACATTACCCAGAAGAGTCACAGTAGTGTGAATTCATTGTTTCATAGTGCTATGTATTCCTATTTAAACAGTATGACAGGGTAAATATTTAGCTTCTATATGTAATTCTCACAGCAAAATGACTGACCAAGTCTTATTATTTTATGGTCTACAATTAGTTAACAACATAGTAAAAGCATCCTGACTGGTTAATAATTAAATCAGTGTTGTAATATCATGTGCTGCAAAGAGCTGCAGGAGACACATTAAAGAGCCATTTGAGACTCAGGGGCCTCAGTCTGTATCTAGATGCATTTTATTTCAGATGAAAGAAAACAACTGGAGAAGAATTCCAAAGTCACCGTGACAGAGGGAGGACAGTGACTCACTAATGCCCTGCATCTGATCAAAGCTAAAACTGATCTCCAATATGGACAGCCTTAAAATGAAAACACAAAGTGGGTGAGATTATGGCTTTTATGGACCAACTTCTGCTGGTGAGAGAGACAAGCTTTCAAACTTAGACAGAGCTCTTCTTTAGGTCTGGGAAATGTACTGAGAGTATCACAACACTGCATATAACCTTAAAATGGACAACCAGGCTGCCTTCTTAGGGATTTAAAGGGACCATACACCGAAAACAGATTCAGCATAACATTAACACAGCAATGCTGCAAACTCTTGTGATTTTACTGTAAGTCTTGAAATATCTGGTGCTTTTCATGAAGTCCCAGCCTCTAGATTCATATGATGAGAGGAGACTCTCAGCTTTCACTTAAAAAACAAGGTGTCTAGACCGAATGGTTTCAGCGAAAAGCTTAGAAATGTGACCCAAGTGTGATGGGTTGGACCCCCCCAACTCTCGGTCCGGGATGCCACCCAATGCGCTGAGGTTTCACTGAGCCCGCCTGCTCATCTAGCCTGGGCTCCCTCTACCCGTTTTGCTGAATCATGCTTTCCGGCCTCTGGCAGCACACACACAGGTAGGGACACACCTGTAGAATCACACAGAGTCTGCAAACAGCTCTCTGAGAAGTCTTAGGTAGGAAATTGCCCAGCACTCAAGTGCACACCCCTTTTTGGGGAGTAAACCCAAGATAATATTGTCTTGCACTATATAGAAAGATCTGCACACAATTCGCCCTCTCCCTCAATGTGGAGAGATATGCACAACTCCCCCCCCCCCCCCGATATGAATTACACAATCTGGGTTATGTTATAAACAAGAAATAAGTTTATTAACTATAAAAGGTAAATTTTAAATGATTATAAGGGATAGCAAACAGAACAAAGCAGATTACTGAGCAAATTAAATGAAACACACAAACTAGGCTTAATACACTCAAGAAATAGATAACAAAATGTAATTTCTCACCCTAAATGTTGTTTTAGGCAAATTTCAGAGTTTTTGTAGTTTAGAGTTCCAGTTATTTCTCTTTACAGATTAGACTCCTGTCTTAGTCTGGATTCAGTCCTTGCCTTTCCCACAGCTCATTTCCTTTGAATCTTCAGGTACTTTCAGCATTCTTTCTTCTTGGGCAGGAAGAGCCCTGTTTGCCTTACTCCCCAGCCTTAAATAGAATTTACATAAGGCAGGAAGCCTTTGTTTCCAGTGGAAAAGTACCAGAAGTGTCCAACGTGGTACTTTTTAACAGGTGACATTATCACCTGACCTTGCAGTGTCAAAGCAACCATGAAACCAGATTTATTGGCAATGTCCACAGGAAGGAACTCCCGGAAGATGGGGGATCTGCATCTTTGAAGACTCATTGTCTTTTTCCTAATAGCCCATTAAGGCTGATTGCTTACTGTCTGGTGGGTGTCTCCAAGTATAACCATAGATGTAATTGTTACATAGTCAATATTCCTAACTCCAGATACAGAAATGATACATGCATACAAATTGGATAATCGCATTCAGTAAATCATAACCTTTCCAATGATATCTTACATGAGCCATCTTGCATATATTATGCCATATTAATATCATAAGCATATTTCTATAAAGAATATGGAGCGTCACGTCACACTAAGTTCACCCTAGAAGCTCAGAAACCAGATGATAAACAGGAAGGACCCCCTTTTTTTAAAACCTCATTATTGTTAAGCCAATCTCATGATCTTTGGAGACTCGACTCATGATTTTAAATGCTTGGGGGTTGGCCAACCCATCGACCACCACAGGAAGTGGAAGTGTAGGGCTTTCCATATAGGCATGACATATGCATAAAGTCTTCTGTCTCCTAATTGTAATATTGTGACATCCCTCAGTGCAAAGGGCCTGCCAAAGACACCCTGCTTTCAGTTATATATTCAGTGAACATGGCCCACTTACTGACTGGCTAAGCCAACAATCCTTTAAGCAAGGGTCAGTCCTAGAGCAATATCATGTATTTGCATGAGGAAAGCTTTCTGGTCTTGCTAGTAAGTGATGATTCCACCCGAAGTTCTACCTGCTAGCAGGTAAGGATCTTTTCCATTACAAAAATAATCACTAGCCCATGGGCTAGGACATTTTGTCAGCACTCAGACATGGGCATTTACCATGGTGGTCTCTGTAGTTAAACCCTACAGCAACGCCGCACATTGCAAAGAATTTTGGGGTATTTCCAGGCTGTGGTTATACTCTGCAGGGAGAGAGCTGACAGAGAGGACTTGGCAAGCAGACATAGGCTGCTCTGAAGGTGTAAGTTCACATGTTCATCTAAACAGTGCAGAGTTAAACAAACTGTCAAGAGCATCCACTAACAGCTAGCAAAAATCCCCCAAGCCCATCACAAATGTCATCTGAAGGGCAGGGCCGGCTCTGGCTTTTTGGCTGCCCCAAGCAAAAAAAAAAAAACCTGCGGCGCGGCCGGAGCACGGGTGCAGGGGGACCGGCTGGGGGGAGGGGGAGGGAGCGGGCGGGAGAGAGAGAGAAGGGGGCGGCCAGGGCTACAGCAGGGGGCTGCTACGCGGCTCCTCCTGCTGCGCCGCCTCCTGCCGCGAGGGCTCTGCTCCGGTCGGCGGGGAGGGAAGGAAGAGGACTGCCCTGCAGGGCGCTCTGGTTGTCCCCGCCGCCGCCCCCTACAGGGCTGTTGGAGGGAACAACAACAACAAAAAAAGCGGCCGTGCCGCCCTAGGATTGGGCGGAATGCCGCCTCCAACAATCTGCCGCCCCAAGCACCAGCTTGCTCATCTGGTGCCTGGAGAAACATAGCTGTTTAAATTCTCCATTTCCTTGTTTGATTCCTGTCTCCGGGGTAGCACAGGTGGGGACTCGAGGAGACGTATGATGTATGAAAACAGAACAAAACCAAAAGAAAACAAGGTAAAAACTTTACTTTAAATAAATCCAGTAAATTAATTATTTTAACCCTTCAGGAATCAAGCCATCTTCCTTGTCAGCCATCTTCCTGCATCAAGCCCTCTTCCTCATTGGCTATTACCAATCAAGAGTCACAGTGACTTGCCACAAACCCCAAACGGGCACACAGGCATGATAAGGAAATCAGATAAGAAGCAGGAGAATTCGATGAGACTTTTCAAACTCTTAGTCAGCATGTTTCATTTCCATTGGAATCAAAGTGTCAAGTCCTAAAAACAACAACCCCCTAATGGGTCAATTTCATAATCAGATGCACTTCAGAACCAGCTGAACTGCACTCCAGCTGGGCTTCTTGCTATTGAATTACATGGGAGCCATCAGAATTCTTTTCATTGTTCCCAGCCTCTCTACTGAATGCCCTGAAATTTCACCATCCACACAGTGATTTACAAGCACTTGACAACAGCCATTTTCTTTAATTTACCCTGATTTCTAAACCCTCCTTCAGGTGGGAGGCTAGCAAGGCTGCTTTACATCTCTGTTGTGTTCCATTGTCTGCAGTTGTCATGAGCACTAAGGTATGTCAGCAGAGAATGTTCTCAGGAATGGACGAGCTTCAGTGCTCTACATCCGTCGCTGCAGGGAATGGCTGGTTCGTAGCCATTCCGGAGTTGATGTCCCTGAGCATGAAGCCCTGTCAGGAATGGTGTGGGAGCACTGTTTGTGGGGGAACCTACTCCAATCCCAGCCTCTCCCAGCAGCAGGTGCTGTAGAGAATGGCACACAAGCACAGGTTCTGAATGGCACAAACAGCTCCACCGTTCCCAGCTGTCCCCAGATGTTGGGAATGGGACAGATTTTACTTGAGATGCTCCATTGCCCACCATATAGAACAGGATTCTTCATAGATTCATAGATTCATAGATTCTAGGACTGGAAGGGACCTCGAGAGGTCATCGAGTCCAGTCCCCTGCCCGCATGGCAGGACCAAATACCGTCTAGACCATCCCTGATAGACATTTATCTAACCTACTCTTAAATATCTCCAGAGATGGAGATTCCACAACCTCCCTAGGCAATAGAGACTGCTTCCAATAGCATTTTGGGGGCTCTATGAATTACTTCCCACCCTCCACCCATCTCCTTCCCCTCTGCTCCATCCCCCAAACTCTGCTCTTGCCTCCTGGTGCTGGGATGACTTGAGCTGTTCCTTGCTGAAGCCTGGCACCTTTCCCCTAGGTAAGCTATGCTGCTTCTCCTGACTCTCTTTGAAACCAACTTGGCTGCGGTAGCTGCCAGGCTTCAAAAGGAAAACATCATTAACCAAAAAGGATTTCTCTCACCTCAGAGATGGGCAGTGAATATTTTTAAACACGAGATGTGCTAATTGGCGCCACTGTAAACCCATGATCCTTTCTCCTGGGCAAGCTAACGAACACATTAATATTATTATGAAACCCCAGAGTGAAAGAGGGCTTGGCACACCTCCAGCACTCAGAAGAAACATCATACCAACGCCAACCCTCAGTTATGAGTGAACTGAACACACATGCCAATGCATGCTCTAGGGCTCAAGTCAGGAGGGACCTAAACAGATCAGATACTTGGCTGGAGAGAAGATAAATAACGTGAGTTTAAATGTAGGAAAATACTAACTAATACACCTGCGGGAAAGCAATCTGAAACACAGATGCTCAATAGGAGGGAGAACCCCAAAGCAATAGAGACGAAGAAGAAATCGTGGGTGGCAAGTCAGTCTTGGCTTTACAATCCAAATGTGGCAGCCAGGAAGAAAAAGGGCAATTAAGTTTTGGGCTGAATACACATTGGCATCACATCACATATAGAGAATTAATAAATTCCTTTCTGCATGGCTCTGGCACACTTACACGTGGAATATTGAATTAATCTGTGGTGTGGTCATTTCATTACCAGAAAGATATTGGAGGGTATTTAGAGAAGAACAACAGAAGTGATTAAGGTGCTGTAAGTACAGTAACTCTTCACTTAATGTTGTAGTTATGTTCCTGAAAAATGCGGCTTTAAGCGAAATGATGTTAAGCGAATCCAATTTCCCCATAAGAATTAATTTAAATAGGGGGGATTAGGTTCCAGGGAAATTTTTTTCACCAGACACAAAACTATATATTATATAGATATACACACAGTATATGTTTTAAACAAACAATTTAATACTGTTCACAGCTATGATGATTGTGAAGCTTGGTTGAGGAGGTGAAGTTAGAGGGTTGAAGAGGGAGGGATATTGCCCAAGGAATGCCTTACTGCTAAATGATGAACTTGCACTCGGCTGAGCCCTCAAGGATTAACACATTATTGTTAATGTAGCCTCTCACACAAAGCAGCACGAACCTGAGGGAGGGGAGACAGCATAGCAGACAGAGACAGACACACACCTTGTGTGTGTGGGAGAGAGAGAGAGAGATGTACACTGCCCCTTTAAGTAAGCTGACCCACTCTTAAGTGCATTGTCTTTTTAAGTTGAGACAGCAGCTGCTGCCCCAATCTCTCTCTCTCTCTCTCTCTGTCCCCTGCTCTTTATGGAGAAGGGGTAAACGGGCTGCAGGAGCAGAGGGGAGGGGGACACCCTGGCATTAGCCCCTCCCCTTACCACCCTGCACAGCCAGGGCTGGCTCCAGGCACCAGCCCACCAAGCATGTGCTTGGGGTGGCGCCTGGAGGGGGGCAGTGCGGCGGGGCCCCGGCCTGGCTCTCCGCCCTCCCCCCGGTGCTCCGGCCGGTTTAGGGTGACCAGACGTCCCGATTTTATCGGGACTGTCCCGATATTTCCTTGTTTGTCCCGCGTCCCGACCGACGTGCGGTCAGGACACTGGACAAACAAGGAAATGCCCTGGAGCCTAGAGACCGGAAGTGCTCGCACCCCCCCCTGCCCCGACTCCGCCCCCTCCTCCCCCGATTGGCTCCCTCCCCGAATCCCCGCCTCTTCCCCGGGCTCACCCTTCCCCCTCCCTCCACAAGCGCTGGAGGGAGGCCCGGGAGATGCAGGGGAAGCGCGGGGCCGGGGTGAGTAAGAGTCCGGCCTGGTCCCGAGCAGGCAGGACTCAGTTGGGTGGTTGGGAAAGGAGGGGGGCGACCCGCGGGGCCAGGCGGCGGCTGTTGTTGTCCCCCCGGGCAGCAGGACTCGGGAGCAGCCGCTGCTGCAGCTCCCACTGCCGCGGGGCAGGAAGCAGCCATGGCGCTCCGCGGCT